CTTTCCGTCCGATCCCCTAAAAAATAAAAATAGGTAAGTAAAAATACTTACAATAAATATCCTCTTCCCTGCAACCCCCCTCCCTCTGTCGACGACCTGGTCTGGCCTGTACTGTATTTTAGCTCAGCTGCTCGTTTGTTTCTTTTTTCTTTTTCCTTTTCGCTCTCGCTTTTTTTCTTTTTCTTCCCCATCTGCTCCCCTCTGCCCATTGTTATTAAAACGACAACAGGAGCCAGCAAGTTTTGCGGATGCAGTACTTCCAGTCGTAGTTGGCACCACCACCCACCACCACCACCACCACCCAGCAGCAGCGCCGGCACACCAGCACCGCCATTTCTAGGCGTGGTCTCCACCCTGCCCATCTCCAGCATCCTGCTTCTGCTTCTCTACACCTTCAGCTTCTTCTTCTGCTACTACTTCTGCTGCTGCTGCCGCACCACACCCATACATGTCCCCTGTCCATTACTACTATCTTCCCTTGGTATCCTCCCCTTCCCCCTCATCCTCATCCTCACCCTCACCTTCGCCGTCTCAACCCCCCTCCCAGCCTCCACTTTTCACTTACATGATCTCCTGCTAGGTTGGACCGGGAGCAAGGGATGTAAGGCCGATCTCCACCCACTCTGCTCTCAGTTTTTTTTCTGCTCTGTTCTGGCTGCCACTCTTGCCCGCCCGCTCTCTCCGCTTTCTTTTTCTCTCTCATCTTCCTGTTTCTTCCCAACCAACCTCCTCCCGTTCCGTCCTTATTTTGAATTTATACCTCCATTCCCGTTTTCTTTGCATCTCTCTGCTCGATTTCCCCGTCCCGGCACTCGGGGCACTCTGGACATAACAAAGCCTGATTAATGATCCCTCCGTCCCCTCTCGGATTGGTGTGCTGACTGTATCCTCGCTGCATTCTCCGCAATAGATCGCACACATCCCCTCGCCCACATTTCATTCTCTTCACCTTTGACGAAAAGGAAAATCAAAGAGAGAAGGGGGAAAAAAGAAAATAACGATTAGAGAGACGTTGCTGAAAAGTCCTACTACGCAAATAATAATAATTAATAGAAGGACAAAACAACCAAAAAATATTCGACAAGAGGAATCTCAAGGAAAAACAAAAGAAGAAAAAAATCCAATCCTTCTACGGCCTGCAACGAATGTTACGATAGTTACGAGAACGACCAATTCCCCCTTCATCCCTCTGTTACGTTCTGTCTGCGGTTTTTCGCATGCTCGTCCTGTTGCCCTTGCAAATATTTCATCCCGCGGTCTGTACCCGTTTAGACGCTCGAACTCCGTTGCACAACGATTTCTCAAATCTTGCCAGCATCGCCCGATACTCCCTGACCGTTCGTTATATTTGCCTGAGGTTTTATGCTCCAAGTACTCCCGCTATCGCAAACCTCCCGTTTCTAGCTTAATATTTTGTTTCGTGGCCCCCCATCGAACGGCCTCCAAGCTCCCGTCCCGTTGCCTTCTA